AGCAATCCTTGGAGGAAGGCCAACTACAACAATATTAGGCAGAAACTGGAGAATGTTGATTGGAGATGGCTATTTCAGGGCAAATCCACATCCGACATGTGGGAGTATTTCAAATGGCAGTTGTTAAGAGTTCAGGTGCAGCACTTTCCTGTGAGAATGAAGGATAGGTATGGCATGTTATGTGAACCTTGGATGACCAGGAATATTATGACCTTGGTCAAAAAAAAAGGAAGTGTAAGTAAGGTGTAGGAGGATAAGAACTGATGAACAACTTGAAGCATGTAAGGAAATAACTTAAACAAGGAATTAGAAGGGCTAAAAGGGGTTATGAAAAGGTATTTGTACATAAGATTAAGGAGAATCCCAAGGCTTTTCAAAGATATATAAAAAGCAATATGGTAACCAGGGAAAGTGATGGCCAACTCAAGGACAAAGGAGGAATCTATGTGTGGAGTCAGAAGTAGTAGGTGAGGTCCTAAATGAATACTTCATGTCAGTATTTATCAAAGAAATGGAATTGGAGGAGGATGATCTCAGGGAAGGGAGTGTCAAATTTCTGAGCCAAGTTGCTATTAAAAAGGAAGAGGTGTTGTGCATCTTCAAAAGTATTAAGGTAGATAAATCCCAAAGTCCTGATGGGATCTATCCCAGAATATTGAGGGAAGCAAGGGAGCAAATAGCTGGAACATTGACAGACATCTTTGCATCCTCTTTGGCCACGGATGAGGTCCCAGAGGGCTGGAGAATAGCTAATGTTGTCCCATTGTTTAAGAAGGGTAACAGGGATAATCCAGGAAATTACAGGCCTGAGAGTCTCATTTCAGTGATGGGGAAATTATTGGACAAGATTCTCATGGACAAGATCTATATGCATTTAGAAGGAAATGAACTTATTTGCAACAGACAGCATGGTTTTGTGCAGGGGCGGTCATGCCTCACTAACTTGATCGAGTTTTTCGAGAAGGTGACAAAGATGGTTGATGAGGGAAAAGCGGTTGATGTTGTCTACGTGGACTTCAGTAAAGCCTTTGACAATGTCCCTAATGGCAGACTGGTGCTAAAGGCAAAGTCACAAGGTATCGTGGTGAGCTGGCAAGATAGATACAGAAATGGCTTAGTCACAGGAGACAGTGCGTGGCAGTGGAAGGATCCTTTTCGGAATGGAAGGTTGTGACTAGTTGTGTTCCCCAGGGGTTAGTGCTGGAACCTCTGCTGTTTGTGCTCTATATAAATAATTTGGAGGAAAATGTAGCTGGTCTAATTAAATTTGTAAACGATACAAAGAGTGGTGGAGTTGCGGATAGTGAGGACGATTTTCAGAGGATACAGCAGGATATAGATCAAATGGAGGCATGGGCTGAAAAATGGCAAATGGAGTTTAATCCAGACAAATGTGAGGTGATGTATTTTGGAAGGACAAGTACAGGTGGAAATTATATACTGAATGGCAGAACGTTTCGATATATTGATATGCGAGGATCTGGGTGTGCAGGTCCACAGATCACTGACGGTGGCAGCATAGGTAGATAATGTTGTAAAAAACGCCTAAGGCATGCTTACCTTCATCAGAATGGGTACTGAGCAGAAGGATAGGCAAGTTATGCAACAACTTTATCGAAATTTATTTAGGCGACACTTGGAATGTTGTGTACAGTTCTGGTCACCACACCACCAGAAAGATGTGGGTGCTTTGGAGAGGGCACAGAAAAGGTTTACTAGGATGTTGCCTGGTATGGAGGTTTTTAAGCTATGAAGAAAGATTGGATAGACTGGGTTTGTTTTCACTGGAACGCAGGAGGTTCAGGGGCAACCTGACAGAAGTTTATACAATTGTGAATGGCAAAGATAGAGTGGACAGTATGACGCTTTTTCCCCAGGGTGGAGGGGTCAATTACTAGGGGACACAGATTCAAGATGCAGGGGCAGAAGTTTAAAAAAGTTGTGAGAGGCACGTTTTTCACACAAAGGATGGTGAGTGCCTGGGGTGCACTGCCAGAGGAAATGGTGGCAGACACAATAGCTGCATTCAAGAAACACCTGGATAAATACATGATTAGGAAGGGAATTGAAGGATACGGTCCCTGTCAGTGAAGACAGATTTAGTATGGAAGGGTGAAATGTGTCAGTGCAGGCTTGGATGGCTAAAGGGCCTGTTTCTGTGCTGTGCTGTTCTTTGTTCTTTTTCTTGTTCTTATGTCTGGAAACCATGGGACTTGAACCCAGAACTTCTGCTCCACTATCACTGCATTACAAGAGTTCTCTTTCTACCCAGGGAAGTCAATTTATTAATCAATTCACCTGCTTAACTACTTCCTATATTGACAGTCACCATTGATTAATTGGACTAGCCATAAAAATAGTGGGGTTACAACAGCAGCTCAGATGCTGGGAATTATTTGGCAAGTAACTCAGCTCCTGACTCTTCAAAATCTATCTACTTGTCTACAATGCACAAGCCAGGCATATGTTGGAATGCATACCCTCTTCCTTGAAAGAGCGCAGTCTGTGTGATTGACACCCCATCTAATGCAAATGATAGCAGTGTGCACCATACACCAGATGCAATGCAGCAAATCATTATCCCTCTGGAGACAGCACCTTAAAACCTGTGACTTTGACCACCAGAGAGGACAAGGTCAACAGATACATAGAAGGTCCATGATCTGCAAGTTCCCTCCATGTCTCTTCCACCCTGACGTCACTAACTGAGTCAAAATGGTCAGCACAATGGTAGTGATTAGCACTGCTGCCTCACAGTTCCAGGGACCAGGGGTGACTGTGTAGAGGTTGCACAATATTCCCATGTTTGTGTGGGTTTCTGTCAGGTGCTCCAGTTTCCTCATATTACAAAGATGTTCAAGTTAGGTGGACTGGCCATGCTAAATTGTCCCGTAGTATCCAGGGATATGCAGCTTAGGTGGATGAGCCATAGTAAATGCAGGGTTACAGGTAAAGAGTGGGGGTGGGGGTGGTTGGATCTGGGTTGGATGCTCTTCATGCAGACTCAACCAGCCTAATGGCCTCCATCTGCACTGCAGGGATTTTATGATTCTAAAATCCTGGAACTCCCTCCATAATTTTGTCTTTGCCTGTGCGACATAGTCAGCTGCAGTTCAAGGCAGTCACTCACTTCGATTTTATAAAGAGCAGTTAGGGATGGGGAGCAAATGCTGGCCTATCCAACAACCCCCACATCTTATGAAGAAATTCTAAATAAAATATGCACTTAAAGAGCTAAAATCTACAAGTTTACTGACAAAGAGCTGGGAAATGGTTTTAGGCTGGAGAGCTCTATTATGATCAGCTGAATGACTTTCTTAGTTACATTTTTCCATGATCCGAAAGTGACCAAGAAATCATAGAGATTGCAAACCAGTTACACTGTTTGCTTATCTTAATAGTGGACCCCAACACATGCATGAAAGAGACAAAACTGCAGTTTTTTTAATGCATCTATATTCAACTCTAAATGCCAAGTTGATAATGTAACTGTGGCCTCCTCCTCTCCAGACATCTATTTTAAAACCAGTTCAGTCCATACAATATCACAACATGCTGAATGCATTGAAAAAAGCAAAGGCTATGAACTGCAACAGTATCCTTGCTGTGGTGTTGAAGAAATATGTTTTTTTGAACTGACTCAATGTGATGGGAATGGTCATTGGTAGTGCTATCAATCATGATATTTCATCAGTAATGTAAACCTAAAAACCAAAGAACTCCAGATACTGGAAATCAGAAACAAAAGCAGAACTTGCTGGAAAAGCTCAGCAGGCCTGGCAGCATCTGTGGAGAGTAAGCAGAATTATGTTTCAGGACCAGTGACACTTCTTCAGAAATGATTGTAGCTGGAGAAGGATTGGTATATATGCTACGGAAGGTGGGCGGAGGAGGAAAGGAGTAAATGATAGGTGGAGATGGAGCTCAGAGAGACAGGGAAACAGTTGGGCAGACAAAAGAATGAGTAAATGTCAGCTTGGGAGAATGAGTAGCTCTAATGGGGGCCATTAGTAGTTGACAATGGGTTATTTTTCGTAGCAGCCCATGTGATGACAAGGCCTGGTGTGTGGGGTTTGGGGTAAGAACATTGGAGAAGGTACTCAAGCCCTAAAATTGTTGAACTCAATAGTGAGGCCATAAGACTGCAGGGTTCCCAAGCAGAAAATGAGGTGTCATTCTTCCAGCTAGGGGAGCTTCACTGCAGCAAGCTCAAGACAGAAACATTGACCAGTGAACACGGTGGTGTGTTAAAATGGCAGGCGACCAGAAGCTCAGGGTCATTTTTGCAGACAGAACACAGGTGTTCTGCAAAGTAGTTACCCAGCCTGTGCTTTGTCTCCTCAATATAGAGGAGAACACATTGTGAGCAGTGAATATGGTAGACTAGATAGAGCGAAGTGCAAGTAAATTGTTGCTTCACCTGGAAGGTGTGTCTGGGGCGTTGGATAGTGAGAAGACAGGAAGTAAACAGATAAACAGATTCTGTGATTGCAGGGAAAGGTGCCATGGGGTGTGGGAAGATGTTGGGAGTGGAGGAGTAGTGGACCAAGGTATCCCAGAGGGAAGGGTCCCTGTGAAAGGCTGACAAGGGAGGGGAGGGTAAAATGTGAATGATGGTGGTGGCATCCTTCTGGAGGTGGCGGAAATGGCGGCTAATGATCTTTTGGGTGTGGATGCTGGTGAGATAGTAGGTGAGGAGGAGGAGGACTCTATTGCTGTTGAGGGAGGAAAGATAGGGGGTGAAGGTCAAAGTGTGGAGATGTTTCGGACACACCTGAGGGCCCTGTCAATCACAGTCAAAGAATAAGATGGATGTTCTAGAAACACCCCCGTCAAAGCAACTCACAATCACTTTCTCGAGGACACTTAGATGTTGTCAATAAATCCTGCCCTTGGCAGTGATGTCCACATCCAATGAATGAGTAAACTAAAAAAAAACTATCGCATGAAGTAAAAATAAAAAAATTGTGCCTTTCAAGTGAGGATCTCCGTGCACTTACCAGGTGGCCTGACAATAATCTGTGGGTCATCTGTAAAAACAGAAAACAATCATCATTCAAATACTGGCCACATTTTGATGAAATGGTTGTAAACCAACACATTTAATAAGTAACTCATTCATTACATGAAAAATGAAAAAAAAACATAAGAAAGAGGAATAGGCCATGTGACTCATCAAAACTAATCTACTGTTTAACTTTCTACATTACTTCCACTTTCTGATCTTATCCCCATTTCCATTTGACCCTGTGTGTCCAAACGTCTGCTAATCTCAGTCTACACTTACGTGTTGAGAATTCACAGCCCTCTGGACTGGAACATATCAGATTAACAATCTTCTGAATGAAAGAAGTTCCCCAAATTTTAGTCCTAAATTATTGACCTCTTATTCTATGTCTACAATCCTTAAGTTTTAGACCCTCAATTGGGGTGGAATAGTTAGGAAAAAAAGACTTCTGAAAATTTACCCTGTGAAGCCCTCTAAGAATTTTATACTTTTCACTTAGGTCACTTATGTTTTAATTGGGTTGCTGTATTGAACTGATTTGTCTTAGAGCAATGCAGAGATGACTCTGGTTGTAAATCCAAAAGTCTATTTACAAAAGCTTTAAACAATTCTCAGAATTTACAGAATTTCCAAAACACACATTGTCTTTGCTCGGTCTCAGATATTCCAAGTAGAAGCTTGTATATGGAGTTGGCCACTTGACAAAGATCAGTTACCAGATTAGCCTGATCAAACATATATGAACTACCACTGAACACGCCAATCATTTCTCATTGTTCTAAACTCCAGAGAATATAGACTCATCCTACTCTCTCACTTCATCAGACCTAGGAACTAATCTAGTACTGAAAAAGTGCTCTCTCCAGTGTCCTACATAATTGCGAGAAGATGTCTTCACTTCATACATTCTTCCTACATTACTAACGGCAATTCAAAAATATTGATTGATTGTCAAGTTCTTTGAGAAATATGGACATGAGAAGTGCTGCATAAATGCATCTTTCAGCCCTATACCCCTATACTCTAACCACCTTGCAATAAAGGCTAACAAAGCATTCACTGTCCAAAGTCTTTGCTGTGCTTGTATATTCACTTCCACCAATTCATACACCGGATCTGTAGCCCTTGAATGCTAATATTTACTTGTCATTCATCTTAAAGCTGACACAGAGGTTTAGCAGGTAATCAAGAAAGCTAATGGAATGTTTATCGTTCATTCAAGAGTGTTAGAGTATAAGAGTAGGGAAGACGTACTGCAACTGTATAAGATGCTGGTAAGACTACATCTGGAGTACTGTGAGTAGTTTTGATTCCCTTATCTGTGATAATGATATTATTTCATTGAAGGCAGTTCAGAGAATGTTTACTAGGATGAACCCCAGTATGGAGGGATTGCCTTACGAGCAAAGGTTAAACAGATTGGGATTTGACTCATCGGAGTTTAGAAGAATGAGAGGTGGTCTCATTGTAACATATAAGATGGGTTTGACAAGGTAAATGCTGAGAGGATATTTCCCCTCATGGCAGAGCCTAGGACCAGAGGGCATAGTCTCAGAATAAAGGGGTGCAAATTTAAAACTGAGATGGGGAGGAATTTTTCCTCTCAGAGGGTTGTGTGTCTTTGGAATTCCTTGCCAAAGAGAGATGTGGGGATAGAATCCCTTGTGTATATTTAAGCTTAGATAGATTCTTGATCAATAGGAGAATTGAGGGTTACAGGCAAAAGGCAGCAAAATGGATATGAAGAATGTCAGATCAGCCATGATCTTATTGAATGGCACAGCAGGCTCGAGGAGCCAAACAGCCTACTTCTGTTCCTATTTCTGATGGTCTTGTATAATTGCCTATTTTCCCACTGAAGTGAATAATTTCACATGGTACCATCAACAATCCTACTCTTTTCTTATTACTTTCCATTTCTTTATCTTTATCTTACTATCAAGGGTTTAACTGTTTCCATTAGAAGGAAGGTGAACAACTAAATGTTCTCAATGTAAGGCAAATGAACCAAAGAGATGAAGTTTTTTTTATTTTAGTAGATTTGATTTAGACTTTATTGTCGTGTGTTCTCAAGTACAAAAGTATGGAGTACAGTGAAAAGACCATAAGATAGAGAAGCAGAAATTAGGCCATTCAGCCCATTGAGTCTACTGCATCATCCAACCATGGCTGATACCTCATTCTACCATTTTCTCCCCATAACCCTTCATCCCCTTTTACAATCAAGAACCTATCTATCTCTGTCTTAAATATATTCAATGACCTGGCCTCCACAGCACTCTGTGGCAGTGAATTCCATAAATTCACTGCTCACTGGCTGACGAAGTTTCTCCTTATCTCTGTTCTAAAGGGTCTTCCCTTTACTCTAAGGCTGTGCTCTCGGGTCCTAGTCTCTCCTGCCAATGGAAACATCTTCCCAACGTCCACTCTGTCCAGGCCATTCAGTATACTGTAAGTTTCAATTAGATCCCCCCTCATCCTTCTAAACTCCATCAAGTATAGACCCAGAGTCCTCAAATGTCCCTCATATGTTATGCCTCTCTTTCTTGGGATCATTCTCGTGAACCTCCTCTGGACCCGCTCTAAGGCCAGTACATCCTTCCTGAGGTATGGGGGCCAAAAGTTTTCAATGCCTCTACACATGGGTCATACACTGGCTGGGTGTTTAGCACTGCTGTGTCACAGCACCAGTGACCTGGGCTCAATTCCAACCTTGGGTGACTCTGTGTGTGTATTTTACATGTACTCACTGTGTCTGTGTGAACTTCCACCGGGTGCTCTAGTTTCCTCCCACAGTCCAAAGATGAGCAGGTTAGGTGGATTAGCTATGCTAAATTGTCTTTAGTTACCAGGGAAGTACGGGCTAGGTGGATTAGCCAAGGTAAATGCAGGGTTACAAGATAGAGTAGGAGGCTAGGTCTATGTGGGATGCTTTTCAGTGGGTTGGTGCAGACTTGATGGCCTCTCTCCACACTGTGGGATTCTATTCTATTCTAGGTTATTATTCATTGTTTGAAAGGGTAGTGGAAGAAAATTGTATGGAAATTTTCAAAGGGGAACAAGAAACAGTGCACAGTTATAAGGGAAAGGAAAATGCAGTGCAATAGATAAGCAAGAGAATGGCCTTTCCTGCTCCTCTGGTGCTGCCTGGCCTCCTGTGATCCTTCAGCTCCATACTGTGTTATCCCTGACTCTAGCATCTGCAGTTCTTGCTATCTCAGACCAAACAGTCTCGTTGTTTTGTGAGATTTTTTTGATCTTATGGCTGAAGTAAAGGAATACATTAGCTTGGAACTTCTAATATTCATACTGCATTTTGGAAAATCCTAAACATATATTAGGAGACTGGATTTTCCAGATGTGTTCTAATATTATGAATTGAAAATTGTGCAGATGCTGCCAAAGATTTCCTGATGTGGAGTTTCATGGTTTTCACCAGGTGACAGGTTTGGAACACCAGTAAGCAAATGTTTTATGAAAAATGCTGCACAATTTGCAGTTAACCCAGAGAATTTGGCAATCTGTAATTCTTGCCTCTGCCAAGTAAGACACTGTGCTAAGTGCAAGGGGTAGTTTAATTTACCTTCATATACTGTGACTACTAAACATATTCAGCATTATGAATCGCCGCTTACAAAGATCAAAATTTAGTATGGATGGTTTGTATTTTATTTTCGGGATGTGGATAACACTGTATTTATTGTCCATTCCTAGGCGAAATAAGAAGATGTAAGCCTTCTTGATTGAATGCCTATACAACGGAGTAGACTTTTAGCCATTGGGAGCACTTTGAATCTCCGTTTTGCTGTTTCTGCCAGATATTAGGGTCAAGGTCAGTTTTCTTGGGATGAGTCAATTCTATAAAGCAAGGGCGAGATCATAGAAGTGTGTGCCCACAACTTCTTGAATAGTGCTTGCTTCATCTCGGCTCCTGTTATAGCACTAGACATGGTTAGAGCAGTCAGGATGCAGCAAAGTTCAGTGCTGGATGATGGTGAATGAGAGTCTCCAGTACTTAAATAGTAGCTGCAAGGGATTGAGTAGAAATGCCAAATCAAGAAACATTCCCTGTAGCTTACTGCCTCCCTGGCACTAATCTTGCTGCAAGTTTATGATACTATGGCAAGATGCATGAGAATTCAAACAAAATTTTATGCACCATTTTACATTTTAAATATAGGCAAGGCAGGAAGAGAGTCCCTGGCAAACAGCTACTACATATCGGGAAAGGTGTTCACAGGAGAAAGTATAGAGACCACTCTTAGGGATAAGTATACAGCAGTAGGTTTCCTCATCCCATTTACTTTGATGCTCCACTCCAGGAAGAAATTTCAAGGCACGAATGCATCATGTAATGTGGGATTGGATTCAACTAGGTAAGACTGAGTACAATGGCAGCATCACTTCCCTGAAACATATTGGAGAAACAGTTGGATTTTTAGAACAATTCAACAGCTTTCAGAGTCATGTTCTCCAGATGTCCCTTATCACAGATATTTTACTGAATCTCAGACATTGTTTTGTATCATTTGAAAACCTGACTCAAATTCTTAATTCATGGATTACAAATTGAGTATGATAATCATATTCAAAACATCATACATCACCTGATTCTGTAACAAAAGACAAAGCTTCACTGATGGGGCCGTTTCCATATGGATTCTTTGCTTGAATTTTAAAATAATATCTGAAATATAGAAAACATTAACAGTTAATATTAACAGGGGCGGCACAGTGGCTCAGTGGTTAGCACCGCTGCCTCACAGCACCAGGGACCCGGGTTCGATTCCACTCTCAGGCAACTGCCTGTGTGGAGTTTGCACATTCTCCTCGTGTCTGCATGGGTTTCCTCTCACAGTCCAAAGATGTGCAGGCTAAGTGGATTGGCCATGCTAAATTGCCCATAGTGTTCAGGGATGTGTAAATTAGGTGGGTTATAGGGGGATTGGTCTGGGTGGGATGCTATGAGGGTCGGTGTGGACTTGTTGGGCCGAAGGGCCTGTTTCCACACTGTAGGGGCTCTATGATCTTAATTGTTTCACTCAAGTTTGGATTACAAGATGCCACATGCGTCGTAGATCTACCTATTGCACATGGACGGCAGCAGTCAAAGCACAGCTCATTGCAACCATCTCCCATTTCTATCCCATTTTGAGTCTTTGAGCCATACATTCATCTCTAATCTTATTTGCCCTATACTAATTTACATATGCCTCAAGTTATATTCTATAGATTACCACAATTGATGGTATGCTTTTTAATTTGGTGCCGAGCTCCTTGTATTGGTTCACAGAATCCCTACAGTGTGGAAGCCATTCGGCCCATTGAGTTTGCACCGACCCTCCGAACAGCATTCCAACCTGACCCAACCCTCCCACCATATCCCATGGCTAATCCACCGAGTCTACACATTACAGACAATTTCAGCATGGTCAATCCACCTAACCTGCACATCTTTGGACTGTGCAAAGAAATCCACAGTGAGAATGTGCAAACTCCACACAGACTTCAGAGGCTGGAATAAAACCCAGATTCCTCGCACTGAGAGGCAGCAGTGTTAACCACTGAGCCAGCACGCCACCCCATTATGTAGAATCTTAAGTGTTGTCCTGCCTATACCACTGGTACCTACATGGACCAAGATGACCACAATAAGTTCCTTGTCAGCTCTAAGCAGTGCTTAAACCCTGGACTGGGCAGGCGAATCAACATTCTGGATTTTTGCTCTTGACTACAGAGAACAGACCCACTGCCCACTACTACATCATTTCTTATTGTCACGACATTCTTTTTTGCTCCCCACACTTAAATGACTACCAATACCACAGTGCCATGGTCAGTTGGCTTATCCACCTTGCAGCTCTACTGTCACCAAAACAAAGTGAAAGAATTGCAAACTTTTTGGACAACTGGAAAGGCTGAGATTCGTGCACCTTTGTCTTCAGAGTCCCCTTGCCTGTCTCAGATGCAACTGCAATCCCCTGAACACCGATCAAATTAAAATACCTTTTCCTAAGGGGTGCAACTGCCCCCGGTACAGATATCTAACTAACTTTCCACTCTCCCTGTTGTGTTTATAGAGTCTGCAGCTTGGCTTCCAGCTCAATGACTCTGAGTTAAATATCCTTGAGCTGCAAACACTGATTGCAGACATATCTTTCAAGGACACAAGAACAGAAATTGCTGGAAAAGCTCAGCAGGTCTGGCAGCATCTGTAGAAAGAAATCAGAGTTAATATTTCAGGTCGAGTGATTTCTCTCCACAGAAGCTACCAGACCTGCTGAACATTTCCAGCAATTTCTGTTTTTGTTTCTGATTTACAGCATCTGCAGTTCTTTTGGTTTTTATTTAACATTTTCCATGGATCCTGGCATCCACATTTTGCTGCCATGGCACATCACTATCTTGACATCCTTAACGTGTTTTAATTAGCTGCTTAATTATTTTACACAATTATTTATTTCTTTTTATAAAATAGATTTTATGCTTACCTGTACTATTTTAAAACTTGGAAATAACACAGACCTTAAACACTTACCAAATACTCATCAAACAGGTGTTTCTTTACCTGTACCAGAGCAAGGACTAATTCCTAAAAAGTGAAAAAGTTATAAAGAGTAAAGGAGTATCTCTCCATATCTTCACCTAACCCCCTTACTCACCTATCTCTCAGCACTACATTCAAAGTCACATTGAAAAGCTTTACTTATATGTTTTCAGTTAGCTCAGCTCTGCGTACAAAAAAGTTTAAGCTAGTTTCCTGCTCTCCACTGGGGAGCCTGTATATTCCATCCCAGTTAAGCCTGGGTGAAATTCAGAATTTAGGCATTTAAAGTCACGGAACTATTGTGACAATAAAGTAAGGGATTTAGGGCTGGAGCGTGGGAAAGGGAGAGTTCCTCCATTTTCTGTTTGCTTTGCAAGAAATTGCACCACATTTAGTTTAGTCACTCATACAAATGCCTGCACATAATATTCTCTCAATACTTGCTTCACAGAAGACAAAAAGGATCTCTAAGTAAACCACAAATAGCTGCAGCCATACCCTTTAGATTGGCACTAAGTTAAATATTATATCAAGTATATTCATTCTGAGTTCAAAATTTGAAAACTTTGCAGATAGCTCACTATTAGAGTTTTTTTTATTAGAGCTTAGTATTCAAGAAATGCTAGATTTGTTAACAGCATTAAAAAAGGAAGAATGCAACTTAACCATTCTGTGGAGGTATGACCAGTTTGTGACTGGCAAAGTCCCCACGTAGCAGTAATAATAAATACCAACTGGGTGAATTTTAGAAAGCTTGAACCAATCTCCTATCATCACTGTTACAGCAGATCTAAAACAGTGGGTTCCACCAACTGTGATTATTACATTAACAACTCTCAATTAGTGTTGGTTACGAAGGTTAATTTTCATTTCCCCTTGTATTTTTTGTGCATTACTTAAATTTTCAAAGAAATTATTTTCTCAAATGAGGTCAACTCTGCAGCAACAGTTTTTTTTTATAGAATCCCTACAGTGTGGAAACAGGCCCTTCAGCCCAACAAGTCCACACCAACACTCAGAGCATCCCACGCAGACCCATCCCCTTATAACCCACCTAAGCTACACATTCCTGAACACAATGGGTAATTCAGCCTAGCCAATACACCTAACCTGCACATCTTTGGACTGTGGGAAGAAACTGGAGCACCCGGAAGAAACCCACACAGACATGGGGAGAATGTGCAAACTCTACACAGACAGTCACCTGAGGGTGGAATTGAACCCAGGTCCCTGGCGCTGTGAGGCAGCAGTGCTAACCCCTGGGCCACCATGCTGACCCTTTTCCAACCTAACCATCAAATCTCTTTCCAGCCGGAAAGTCTTCAGCACTGTGTGGGGCGAATAATAAGGCATAACCTAAGTAGCAGAATAATCAATGGGCTTTCAATTTTAAAGACAATTCTTTTTCTCATTTTATAAATATTATAATGATAATGTGATTAAATCTATGGTTTAAAAGCTTACATCCTTTGGGACAGATCCTAAATGAAATGGAAACTAACTCTCCCATGTGCTAAAGATCTAAGAATGAATGGAAAGAAAAACTTCCTGTTGAAACTGCATAAAGGTTGACAAAGCCATCAGAGGTCAGCAAATAACAGTTCCAGGTGTAGTAAAGGCAGACTGAAGAAAACATATGTTAGATTCAGAATAAACAAAAAGGTAATAGTTGCAGCTGTTTCAGTATTTTAATTTAGGTGCTGCACACCATCTAGATCATTCTAAGGATCATTAGGACTGGATCATTAGGCCATTCTGCAAATACATACAATTTTGATGATGAAATAACTGCACAAAGACCTGTATCCTGTCACCAAATCACCCCTTATTTACACGTGCATAGTACTTGACACTGATCCAGCTTACTCAGAGCCAGTCCCTAGAAATAGTGAGAATCTGTGAGACTCCTGTTTATTTTTTTAACATGCTACACACCAATATTTTATTTGCGAGGAGACTCCTGTTTATATCTCTCAGTCAGAGCTTTCTGGCCTAGGTTAACAACCCCGTTCAAGGATCTCATACTCAATGAGATCCACCTACCCTCATTACAATCACCATGTTTCCAGGGGCGCAGTCAGAGGGAGGAACACAGAGTAACTGAAACTAAACTGAAAAAGGCGACATCACAGAAGAGCTGTGACCTGATTGGCAGGTAGGAAATCTGTCCTGGATTTGAAAAAAAACTGCAAAACTAATTATTAATTATTAACTAACCATTCAGGGTTTAACTAACTAGTAAGTTAATTAACTAAGCAAAGATGGCTGGGTAGGTGATGTGCTGTAGCTGTATGATGTGGGAGCAGGCTGGTCCCTTTGTGAACTGCAGTGACCATATCTACAGCAAGTGTTGGTTGCTGGAGGAACTTCGGCTCAGAATTGATGAACTTCAGTCACTGCGGCACATCTGAGAGGGGTAGAGTTACCTGGGTGCTCTGTTTCTGGAAGCAGTCACATCTGGTAGATTAAGTACCATACGTTTGGTCAGTGGCCAGGGACAGCAGGGTGTGACTCCAAGTGAGGCAGGTAGAGGGATCCTGCATTCAGGAACAGAGGAGCTTCAGCTTTTGACCTTGTCCAACAAGTACAAGGTACTTGCTCCCTGTGTGGATGAGGAACAGGACTGTGGGGAGGATGAGCCATCTGACCATGGCACCGTGGCACAGGAGGCCATTCAAGAGGGGGAAGCAAAAAAAAAAAAACAGGTGGTAGTTGTAGGAGATTCTATAATTAGAGAAATAGATAGCATCCTTTGTAAGCAGGATACAGAGCCCTGCATGGTGTGTTGCCTGCCCGGTACCAGGGTGAGGGACATCTCTAATCGGCTTGAAAGGATATTGGAGAGGAGGGGGAGGATCCAGTTGTTGTGGTCCATGTCAGGACAAAAAACATAGGCAAGACTAGGAAAGAGGACTTGTTTAGGGATTATCAGTAACTGGGAACTAAATTAAAGAACAGGTCCTCAAGGGTTATAATCTCCAGATTACCGTCCGAGTCACATGCAAATTGGCACAGGGACATGAGAATAAGGGAAGTAAACACATGGTTAAAAGTGTGGTGCAGGGAAGAGAGGTTCTTTTGCAAGGGGCACTCACACCTTAATGGAACAGGATGGATCTGTACCGTTGGGATGGTCTCCA